AAGACGCGGTATTTTGCGTCCGTTTTGCAAGATCGCGTGTTTTTCCCGATCTATACGGATCGGTAAACCCCTCGGAACTCCGCGGGGTCTACCGATCCGTATGAATTCTGTGATATTGTCGGTTGGGTATACCCTACCAGCTCAAAACGACGAAATATGCCCACCCTACAGTGCCGCCATATAGTGCTACCCCTAGGGGATCCGAATGCTGTCCGTAGACCCGAAACCCTAATGTTTCGGACGGCATGCGGAGCTCCCAGGTTCTTTTCTCCCCTGGCCGTTTTATTCTGCCCTTTGTGTCGGTATATTTTCCCCAGTTTCAACGTTTTTCCGAAATCGATTTCGACATTCAAAACTGCTCTTTGGCTTCGTTATTGTACCCGCTAAAAGCATGTACAAGATTTGCAGTTTCTGATCCTCGATGTCATTTTGTAGTCCTGCAAATGCTTGTCTCGCCAACAAAATTCTCAAAACATTCATTTTCACGTGTTTTGGTTTCGATTCGCGAATTTACGAAGCGCTGTAGATTTCGTGACTGTTTGGGGTGGGCGATCTGGCACTTTGGCGCGCAAATGGATTGGGCGTTCGTCGTAAAACCGATTCGGCGTGATTGTCGTGAAAGTGATCTTGTGAGACAATATTTGTAAGGAATTACAATTCCATACTGCACCAAATACAGCGCGTACACCCGAAGACCTCGACCTCGCAGGTTCGGCCTCAATTGTCGGCCAAACCTCCCCGAGTCGCGTTCCGACACCCTCGCCACCCTTCCATCCCAATCTCGCGTCCCGAGGTTCTCGCCCTAGCACGTATGAGCCCTACTTTAGCCAATTCGCTCGTCACTTGCTCAATCAATTATTATTCCTATGTTGTATTTCCATTATTCAGTCGACCGTTCCATTCCCACGCATAACACTTGGTATTCAGAGCCACTTTCCTCGCGGAGTAGCTTTCGCCTGCCCGAGAATGTTTCTTGGGGGGGGGGGGAGGAGGGATGGCTGGTGGGCTGCGGGGCTGCACAGCGGTTGGCTCGGAGCTAATTTGTTAGCTCGTCCGACTAAGGCATGTGCGCTCCCTTCGTCACTAGACCCCTGCCTTTGGACAGCCAGGATTTGGTTGGGTCCTCCCTCCCCCCAGGAACGTACAACTGTGGCTATCTCGGCATTAATTCGCCATGTGAGTTGGTGAATTATGCATTTAATCGTTCGTTTTGTGTGGCAACATGGCGTCGTTGTCACGTGGCGGGAAATCTTCAAGCGGCTCGCCAGGAGACGTCGTCAGCGGTTGTGCGAAAAAAGCGAAGGCTTGCCCAACTCCGTGAGAAGATTTTGGAGTTCTCCAGGCGCACGTGTGACGCGTCAGAAGTGTACACAAGGAAAGCGCGGGGAGCGAGAGACGCTGGCACTCTATTTCATATGCAAACCGACAACCTCGGAGGATTGGGCCTTGGTGTATCGTCGCGCTCCGGTAACTTCGGCGAGGGGACAACGGCAGTGGGTTGGCGCGACCTTGATTTGACGAAAAATCCGGAAGCGGCAAACTTCGGCAACGACCAAATTTCGTACAGCACCAGGATGGCACTGGTACGTCACCGACACATGTCAAACAGTTGGCAGCTGGATTGCAGTCTGGCTTTACGCGTGGTCTACAACCTGCCAATACTGTACCTGCATGCCGGGCAAAAGTTTCCTGACGAGGAAACCAGCTCGAGAAACGACGGCCAGGGCTCCGTGATAAAAGGGACATGGGCCGCAACCCACGGATGCTGCAAAATAAATTCTGGACGGGTCCGTCGCGCGCGTCTCCCTGGGTCCCCGCAAGGGCGAAGTTTTCAGATTCTAGATGAAAAGAGGTTGCCGTGGAGGGGAAGTTCAAGACAGCGGATTTTGCCGCCCGTCAGTAGCGGTTTGGCCACCGGCTGACGGAGCGTCCTTTCCACCGACTTGCAACGGCCTCCACCTGGGAGTAGTGGTGATTTATGGGGTCATTTCACCTTCCAGGTCCGTAACGGGGGCTAAATCTGGAACTTCCTTCGTGCTTGCGAAGATTTGGGGAGCTGACCTGGAAATGGTGTTCGTCCGAGGGGATTAGCATGGCTGCACAGTGATCGCTTCGGTGATTAATGGCGTGTGCGCTGGCTTCTGCTCCGTCCGAGCCACCTTGACCAGCTGGAGAAAAAAAAAGAAAAAAAGGGGGTTTTTGGGTAATTCGTGGTGCCAGAGGGGACTAGCACGGCTGCGCAACGGTTGGCTGGAAGTTAATATTTTAACTCCACCGACTAAAGGCGTGCACGCTAACTTTTGCTCCGTCCTGCCTCAGATTACGGTTTTACAGGTGTTTACTTACCGACAGAAGGGGGAAGTTGGGTGAACGACGACCTGCCGAAATAGTCGGGGAAGCTGTGAAAAAAGATTCGAAGTCGACACTCTTGCAGACGGAGCTCAACACTGTATCTGAAGTTTTCGGAGTGCGGCTAAGCGGAGGGAGTTGTCCCAGATTTATACGGGTTACTACGACGCGCGATAATGCCTAGGACCTATTTGGTGTCATGGCGAGCGCAAGGATGGGTGAACGTCGGCGTGCTGCAAAAACGCCTGGTACCAGATGGGAAATTCTTCGACAACCAGCGGCGCAACTGTTAAGCACATGAAGTTTGGGGGTACCTGAGTAGCAGTGAAGCGGTTTTGGTGAACCTGCAGCAGCCACGAGATGGGTGAACGTCTGCACGGCCAGCTGGTCAGGAGTACCAGGGTAATTTAAGTTTTGGGTTACAGCTGTGAGGGGATCGATGGCGTATGATGCTCGCTAGCCGTTATCGATGGCCGAAGACCCATGCCCGGGCGGTGAACGACGAGCACCCTCGATTAAAGGGCTCAGTTCATGCGTACAGCTGGTGACGGACCGACGGGGGTGCAGGTAAACGACAGCGCGCCCGTGTTTTACGAGTAGCTGCGAAGCACGTAGCTGTGAAGCGGAGTTGCGGTATTTGTTAAGTTACGGGAGAATTTCCGACATTTTCGCTGGAAGAAACAGTGCAGCAGTTCAAGGTTTTGCAGCTGGCGTGGTGCCCGCTATATCCAGGGCTACGAGCAACATCATCCGATTTTTGCGGAGAAATTTGGTTTTATGGAGAGTGAAGGAGCAGCAGCTGTTTCGGCTCTTGGGTTCGGCTCGAGAGTGTTTCCTAGATCAGTTTAGGACAGGTAATTTCCATCGCCATCGTCGTCAACCTCTCGCCAATACCCATTACCGCCTCCATCGCCAATTCGCCTACCTTCGTTCGCTATACAGAACACGACCCCGCCATCCGCTTGGAGCAGTATCGAATTGACAGATTTGGCAGTAGTAGTGTTGGAGCTGTGTTGGGGCCAGCTCACAAGTAGTGGATTAACTCGTGAAGATTTTTTCAGTTCGTCTGGGAGTTAATTATGGAGCAGTGTTGCTGATTTTCAAGACTTCCGAAGCGGTTTGCCCTACAGAAGAATCCAACTCTGGAGCAGATTTGGGAGTTCTACACGTTGGCGTTTCACCGACCTCTTCGACGCTGAGTTTTTACCGCAGTTTAGTCGCAGTTAGGGTATTTTACGCATACCCTGGAGCAGTGAGTTACCTGGAGGTTTACCTAATTTATGGATGCTGTTTCTTCTTGGAGGGGGGGAGAGGTGCAGCTGCGCTGCATTTGTCCTCTGCAATTTCGTCATCACCAACTGACAGCCTACAACATAACTGTTCATTCGCCCGCAAGAGTTTTCACAATTGCCCAATTCGGCCAGCCGAATAATCGACCAACATTCAACGGCCAAGATCGACTACGATCGTTTCGACAACTTTCAGCAATTCGATCAATACTCAAGATTTACGACCCTGATTACGTTCGACATCTCAAGACAAGAGTCATGATGACAAGCGTGCGGTCATGCCACGTTCTACAGTCTAAGCCATCGAGCATTTTCCTGCCAAATTAAAGTCATCGTCAGCCGTTCGATATGGAGATATCCATCAGATCGACCTTGACAATTTCGCCACCGACATTGCTGACTTGCGATCGGTCAAGACATCTCTCGACCAATTTCAGCCGTCGGATTTGGCCCACCCAAGACTCGTCATGACGGCGTAATCATTACGTTCGTCAAAAGATTTCAAGACCTAGAATCACACTCCCGATTGGATTATTAATCAATCGGAGTCCGCCTCTAGTATAGGGAGGGCTTATTTAGAAGGTGGGAGAGTGTAAGGAATTATAACTCCTTACTGCGCCAAATTATAACACGTACACCCGAAGACCTCGATCTCGCAGGTTCGGCCTCGATCGTTGGCCCAAACCTCCCCGAGTCACGTTCCGACACCCTCGCCACCCTTCCATCCCAACCTCACGTTCCGAGGTTCTCACCCTAGCACGTACGAGCCCTACTTTAGCCAGTTCGCTCGTCACTTGCTCAATCAATTATTATTCCTAGGCTGTATTTCCATTATTCTGTCGATCGTTCCATTCCCACTCATAACAATATTGGTACTTCCCCTTTCAGGGGCACTGTAGCGGTGTGGTAACCCGCTTTTATCAGTACGAGGATCTCGAGACGATCATCGAACCGTATTATGAATGGAAGTGCTGAGTAGCGCGGAGGGCAATGGCGAAACTTTGAACGAGTGAATGACAATAAAATGAAAGACAACACAATATATAGGAAACCTAGGGCGATCCTGAACGTAGGATCGGAAGGTTCGGGAAAAGTATCGAAGGGCCTCGACGTGTCGAAGCGAGGTCCGGAAAGACCCAGGAGGCTCGAAGTGAAAGGTCTGGAACCCTACCGCTGGTTCGGGACTGTTCGAGTCTGTACGCCCAGTAGCAAGCCTCAGTAAGGAATTACGAATTCCTTACAAAGTGGATGCGATGTAACTCGTCCTAAACACTTAGAAAACTGGTCGGCCTGGTCCGCATAACAGGTGTACTTAGAAAATCCATTTCCCCTGCCAAGAATGTCTGTATGAGGTAGCCTCGGTAGGTACTGATCATCGCCGCGTAGATCAATCACTCACCATGCTTCCTCACGCCGCCGTTCCGCAGCGTGCGGCGGCCATTGTGCCGTCAAATCCGGCACGCCTACCGCCATTTCCCGCCATTTTCAGCCTCGTCAATCCCCAGGGTTCTCAGCATCCGCATCAGGCCTTCATCCCATTCCACCGCCTTTCTAGAACCCCTGACACTCATTTTCGCGCACGTTTTCCCTCCCGTTATCCCCTCGTTCGCACGGTCTCCTCCTCCCGCGCTCTCCCTTCCCGCTCACCCGCCTTCCGCCTCCAACCGCGCCGGCCCCTGCCACTCCGCCACGCGTTCCATGGTCCGACTCAACTAGGCCCCGCGGCTTCCCGCGCGAGCGGCGGCGGGAGGAGCGGAGGCGGCGCCGACGCGGATGAGGGGGAAGCACGCGGCGGAGCGGACAGGGAGCGGGAAGACGGGGGCGTTGCTGCTGATGCAGATGATAATAATGATAATAAAGATAATAATGATCCTGTTGGCGGGTTCTGGAAGTCGGTATCGTCGGCCATGCAGTCCATGGCGGACGCGGTGACTCAGACGCAGCGGGAGCTGCTGGAGGGGGAATACAGCGCCGGCACGCCGTGGCTCGACGGTGAGTGAAGGGGGCTGGGGGGGTGGAGGAGGACATGGGGGGGGGGAGAGGGGATACGGTGGTCCAACGCGGTGGCTCGGACGCAGAGGGAGCTGCTGGAGGGCGAGTACAGCGCTGGCACGCCGTGGCTCGACGGTGAGGGGGAGGGAGGGGAAGGGGTGGGGCGGGTGGGAGGGGGGTGTGGGGGGAGGGAAGGGCATTGGGGGGGAGAGGGGATACGGTAGTCCAATGTGGTGACGCAGACAGACGCTGAGGGAGCTGCTGGAGGGGGAATACAGTGCCGGAACGCCGTGACTCAATGGTAAGTGCACTGGGGAGGAGGGGGGGGAGGGAGGGAGGGGGGGTGCGCCGTGGCTCTTTCGCCCTCTGCCCTCCTCCCATTTCCTCTCCTCTTTCCTCCTTGATCTCCTCCCCTCCCTCTTCTCCCCGCCCCTCTCTTCTCCTCTCCCCCATACTTTCTGTCCGCGTGCCTTTTGTCCTTCCCACTAACTCCCCTGTTCTTCACCTCCTCCTCCACTCGGCCCTTTCTTCCCCACCTTCCCTGCGTCTTTTCCCTGCCTTTCCTGCTGACGCAGATGATGACGTGTCGCTGCTCCATTCGCAGATCACCCCGTACAACTTCGTCAAGGTATGGGTAAAGGCAACACATCGAGAGGAAATGGCGAAGATTATTATGACGGGATGGTATGGTATGGTATGGTATGGTATGGACCAGCATACCAGCATATATGGCTTTCACTTACATCAGCCCCGCTTTTTGAAACGCCTAAAGCATTCCTCATCCTTCCCCACTCTCCCCCTCTCCACTCTTTCCCCCACTCCCCTTTCTCCCCTCTCTCCCCCACTCCCCCCCTTTCCCCCTCGCTCCTTCACTCCCCCCCTCTCCCCATCCCTCCCCCGCTCTCCCTCGCTTTCCTCCTCCCCCACCCTCCCTCTCCCCTGCTACCCTCCACCTCACCCTCCCTCTCCTCCCTCTCCCTTTCTCTCCCCCCAGGTGGTGGAGGTGTCTCGCCGCGCGGACAACAGCCTGGCAGGATCTAGAGTGCTGCTGCTGGACCAGCCAGGGAACATCCACTCCATGTACTTCAAATACAAGGTGCGCCCGCTACCTGTAGTATTTCGTTGCTCTATTCTTCTCCCCTTCCTGGCTCTTGCTCCCCCCTCTCCCCCCCTCCCCCACGTTCTATTCTACCCTTGCGTCCTAAATCTCCCGTCTTGACCTCTCTGCTTCCTGCCTCCCCTGCTGCCTCAACCACGAATCCCTTCCCCCCCATCCCCTAGCCCTGGACGGACTCCTATTATGACCTCTTCACGCTGCTGCCCCCTCTGCTCCCTCCCGGCCCCATTGCCATTCTCGGCCTTGCAGCTGGCACGGGTGCTCGGTGCGTGCTGTAGGCATGTATGGCTGATCACTGGATGGTTGTATGTGTTCATGGGTGCATGGGTGCATGGCTGCATGGATGCATGGGTGCACGGGTGGATGCCTGCATGGAGTGGCATGGCACGGCATGCACTGTGCAAGCAAGGTAGGACCTGGCTTGCCAGGTTCATGCGTATTGCTCTATATGGGTCCATAGTGTGCATGGGTGTCCCCTGCTGCTCGCACCACCACTCCTCTCTGTCCCTCTCACCCATCTCTCATTCTTCTCCACCCTTCTCCTCACCCTTCTCCTCACCCTTCTCCTCACCCTTCTCCTCACCCTTCTCCTCACCCTTCTCCTCACCCTTCTCCTCACCCTTCTCCTCACCCTTCTCCTCACCCTTCTCCTCACCCTTCTCCTCACCCTTCTCCTCACCCTTCTCCTCACCCTTCTCCTCACCCTTCTCCTCACCCTTCTCCTCACCCTTCTCCTCACCCTTCTCCTCACCCTTCTGCCCACCCGTCTGCCCACCCCATCTCCCCTCCCTTCCCGCCCCTCTTCCTCTAGCCTGCTATTGCGCCACTACCCTCATCTGGAGCTGCATGGATGGGAGATTGACGACCATGTCATTCAGGTCAGTGTCAGTGCCCCAACTCACCGCTTATGATTGGGTGGGTGGGTGGGTGGGGTGGAGGGTTACCTGGCTCTCAATCCCTCACGCTCTCCCTTCCCTCCTGTCCGTCCTATCCAGTGCCTGTCTCAGGTCGCTAGATCTTACTTTGATTTGCACGAGCTGGAAGACAGCTCCTTCGCCGCACAGCAGCGACTTCTGAGTCGAATCAATGACATCCTATTCCACGTGGTTTGATCTTTCAACCCCTCATGCCCTTCCTTCCCTCCTGTTCGTCCTCTCTGGTACCCGTACCCTGTCTCAGGTCGCCCGCTCTTACTTTGATCTGGAGGAGTTGGAGGACGGCTCGTTTGCTGCTCAGCAGTTGAGACCCTATGTGCCCTTCAGTGACAGTGACAGTGACACAATCGAAGGTGACTGTATAGGGGAGGAGGAAACTGAACGCGAGACACCAGCGCCATCAGCAGGAACCACAGAAGCAGACACATCACATGTGGACGGCGTTGGCCGTCTCGTAGTGCACTGCGGCGACGCACTGTCCACGTCAGCAACCGTATTGGGCGGCTTCGCCGGCATCATAGTCGATCTCTACAGCCGAGGCGCTGTCGTGGCGCCACTTCAACAGGTGGACACGTGGCGCGCTCTCAGTGGCCGGCTGCACGAGGGGGGGAAGATTCTGGTAAACTGCGGAGGGGGATGTGTGGAGGGGGATGAGTCGGTACAAACCGATGGAGAGGCTATAATGCTAGCGACTTTAGAAGCCATGGCTGCTGTTTTCCCACCAGAGGCCATCCTGTGCCATAGGGTGGGGGATGAGGATGGGGAGGATGATGAGAGTGATGACACGGAGTGGGATGGGAATGTGATGGTGCTTGCTGGGCATGACAGCATGCCATGGCCACTGGTCCCCTCTGTGGTATCATCACCATCACCACTATCGCTGCCATCACTGGTGCCTTCACCATCACCATCATCGCCATCGCTATCATCACCATCAGTATCATCACCATCACCATCGGTGTTACACTTAAGGGAAGTAGTAGGTGCGGAGGAGAGAGCACAGGTGGAGGGAGGGGCCGCAGGGGCGTGGGAGGAGGAGTGGGGAGCAAGGGTACCGGGAGAGCTGAGGGGGAAGGTGAGGCAGTGGATGCCGCTGGATAAATTCGTGCAGGCCCAGGAGCAACGGAGAAAGGCGAAAGCAGCCGCGCTGTTGCGGTGAGGAGGCATTTCTGGAAGGAGAAAGGATTTGGAGTGTGCTGGATGGAGGAAACATGGGAGGAGTGGGGAGGGAGCAATGGCGTTGGTTGATCTGAGTGGGAAGGCGACTTTTGAGTCGACTCAAAAGTCACCTTCTGGAAGGAGAAAGGACGTGGAGTGTGCCGGAAGGAGGGAACATGGGAGGAGTGGGGAGGGAGCAAGGGCGTTGGTTGATCTGAGTGGTAAGGTGAGGCAGTGTGTGCCGCTGGGGAGATTCATGCAGGCCCAGGAGCAACGGAGAAAGGCAAAAGCAGCTGCGCAGCTGTGGTAACGAGTGGAGCTGGGGTGACAAATGGAGCATTGAGGCAGCATGGGACGTCTGATTGATGCACTGTGCTTGAATTGCATTTCTCTCCTAGTGTGGTACTGTAAGAGCTCAAAGCAGTGCCATGTAATCTCATGTAATGGTCACATTCTTACACCACCACTACTAACCAGAAAAGCCACTAAGCCACTATCCAGAATAGCTCATATGTACACTTTATGCCGGTGCTGTATACCCTAGCTCCACATCCCCCCTACCCTAGTGCACCCATCTAACCTGTCTACTCTACGAGGCCTCTTTGCAGACCATTGCACATCATATGCCCTGGTAGTACTCCCCTCCCCTCCCCTCCCATGCACCCTGAAACCACCATACCATCCCTTGTGCTCAGCAGTCCCTTCCATTCCATCCACCGAGCTGGCTCACAAGCCTCCGTCAGCTGCAAGTGTGGCTCACGATCCCATTCAGGGCAGTCATCTCCTGGGACAGCAGCTTGCATGCCCCACGCACAGACACACGCCTTCCAGACCTCTCACCCCTTACCCCTCTCAAGCCTCTGTGAGCTGCAGCCGAGGCACGATGTTCATGGCCGTCATCTCCTGGAACAGCAGCTTGCATGCGTACGGCAGGCGCAGCTCAGCCACGTGCTCGCCCGTGCGGCACAGCGAGCACATGGGCACCCGCAGCTTCTGGTGGAAGTAGCCCAGCAGGCCGCACTTGGTGCACACCTGGACATAGGACGAGAAACAGCGGGGGGGGGCGGGGGGGGGGGGGGGGGTGGGGGGGGCGGGGGGCGGCAGGGGAGATGGGCACGTGACCCAGCAGGTAGGGTAGCCTCTGCTCCCCATGAACATGGGCACATGGGCACTCGCAGCTTCTGGTGAAAGTAGCCCAGCAGGCCGCACTTGGTGCACAGCCCACACAGACTAGAGTGAGGGGGACAAGGGACCTTGGGCTTCTGAAAGATCAATGCAACCATGACACCACGGTAGTTAGGGCTAGGGCTACGCACCACTGGTAGGAGCATGGCGCAGGTGGCACAGCCTGGACTGTACCAAAGTGACACGGCATGAACCCTTGAGTTGATGGAGTGCATGGGGTGCTGACCAGACCTGTATTTGGAACTAGTCGCTGGAGATCATGAGCCGCTCCAGAATGAGCATGCTGGCTTTTAAGTCGGCTCAGATACCAACTCACAGACCATTTTCCAGTCCACTCAAACACCACCAAGTGACAAGGCGTTCGGCATGCCATTGCAGCGTGAGTGCTGACCTGTATTTGGAACTGGTCGCTGGAGATCATGAGCCGCTCCAGGATGAGCATGCTGACTTTTGAGCCAACTCAGACAGCAGCTGAAAAAACACTAGCAGAGCGGCCCAAAATCCGCAAGGTGCCAGGGCATGCCATCCTGCGTGCCCACCTGTATTTGGAACTGGTCGCTGGAGATCATGAGCCGCTCCAGGATGAGCATGCTGGCGCCGTACGCTATCAGACAGTCGCGCTCCATCTCGCCCAGCCGCAGCCCTGGCGAAAGGTGGCGTGGGGGAGAGGGAACGAGGGAGAAGGCAGGGGATGTATAGGTGTGTATCTGATCACATGTGGAGTAGCAAGGTGTGGAAGGATGAGCATGCTGGCTCCGAACGCTATCAGACAGTCGCGCTCCATTTCCCCCAGGCGCAGCCCTGGTGCGAGGTGGAACGGGGGAGAGAGGAATGGGGGAGGGCAGGAGGTGCAGGGGCACAAGTAGGACCATGCATGCATGCGTGCGTGCAGTGTGCAGTGCACGAGAGCGCGAGTGCGGGAGTGCGGGCACACATGCGAGTGAGCGTGCTTGGGACTGGGACGGATTGAGAGAAAGAGACTGACCTCCATCTCTACTCCTCCCCTCTGTGGGTTGCCGTGTGAGAACCACTCTTGGACCCCTGGCTCGAGCATGCATCTTGTCCATCACCTGGACATGGGGAGAGGAGAGAAAAGGGGAAGCAGAAACAGCAAAAAACGTGACGGGAGAGAGTAAGTGCAAGGAGATAGCGAGAGAGAGTCAGAGCAAGGAATTATTGAGAAAGAGAGGGAGAGCGAGGAGGTGACAGAACTCTCTGTGAAAAGAGAGAGGGGAAGGAAAGAGGAGCAAGTTAGTGAGTGAACAGAGGACAAGGATGAGGAGCAGAGGACAAGGTAACATAACACATACACACACACCATCTCAGACTTGTCATTGTACCGTTCTCCACACTTGCACCTGGTAGCCACCCTGCGCATCTGGTAACCACACTGTGCACCCGGTAACCACAATGTGCACCTGGTAACCACACTGTGCACCTGGTAACCACACTGTGCACCTGGTAACCACACTGTGCACCTGGTAACCATAATCACACCATGTGCTTCAGCTTCTGATAGTACACAGGCCCTGCGTAGATGTAGGCTTGGAGGGGCTCGCCTGACAGGCCTGGTGGGTGGCAGCATGGCGGAAAGGGAGGGGATGGAGGAGGGGATCAAGATAGATGGGAGGGGGAGACAGCATAAGCCTCTAGAGACAACTCGTAGTCTCTCCCCCCCCTCACATCATGGAGGCTTGAGCATGGGGAGGTGATGGGAGGGGGGATGAAAGCCCCTAGAGGGGAGGTGGTGAAAGGAGATTGAAGGGAGGGGAAGAGAGCATGGGCCTCTTGATCGAACTGCTAGTACACAGGGGGCTGGTGTACCCGAAACCCTGATGTTGGTTCGAAGGGGCGCGCCTGGTAAGCCTGGTGGTGAGTGGGCAGGATGGAAGGGGGGGATGGAGAGAACAGCTGATTCATCTGATATCTCAACTATCTACGGCATCTGATTGCCTGATCCACTCGAGATTATCTGGTCCATCGGATTATCTGATCTGATCTGATCTGATTGCTCAGGCCATCTTCGCCATCTGGCCCACGTCACTTGGGAATCCGCAACCACATTTGGCCACCAAGTGAGACACCAACCACCAAGTGAGACGCCAAGTGTGGTTGCGGATTGCCAAGTGACATGGGCCAGATGGAGTAGATGGCCTGGTCTGGTCTGGTCTGGTCTAGTCTAGACTAGACTAGACATCCTTCCCGCAGTAGCTGAAGTCTGAAGAAGCCGTGCGAGCGAGATGAGCGTTGAGCTGATGGCGCCCACGGTGTGAGGTGGCTCGGACGGAGTGTGTGGCACTTCAAAGCAGACTCTAGTTACCCGAGTGGAGAGACGCCCTCCTCACCTGAACACAGGATGTCTTTTCTGCAGTAGCTAAAGCCATGGGAGCGAGATGAGCGTTGAGCTGGTGGCGTCCATGGCGTGCACGTGGCACCCTTCAATATCAGAATCAACCCAGAATAGAGAGACTCCCATACCTGAATCGACACTCCCTTACCCGAATACAGGATGTCCTTCCCGCAGTAGCTGAAGCCATGTGAGATGAGCGTTGAGCTGATGGCATCCACGGTGTGCGCGTGTCCACTGGGCTCACCAAACGCACTGCCGTAGTGGAACTTGCCGGACAGCACCCCTGCCTTGGAGCCGATCAGCTCAATCATCTTGCCCACAGTCATGCGACTGGAAGGGAGAAAGGGGCGATGCGGGGAGCAGGGGTGAATGGGGGTTGCAGGGATGCGAGTAGGAAAGCCTCAAAGCCGGACAGCACCCCTGCCTTGGAGCCGATCAGCTCAATCATCTTGTCCACAGTCATGCGACTGACTGGTAGGTGCAGGGGTGAGGGAGGATACAGGTGACGTATTGTGTGGTGGGGCGTAAGGGCCTAGGAGCCTAAGAGCCTAGGAGCCTAAGAGCCTAGGAGCCTAAGAGCCTAGGAGCCGAGCCTAGGAGCCTAAGAGCCTAGGAACCTCAGCGCCTAGGAGCCTAAGAGCCGAGCTTAAGAGCGTAGGATCCTAAGAGCCTAGGACGTAAGAGCCTAGGAGCCTCAGCGCCTAGGAGCCTAAGAGCCTAGGAGCCTAAGAGCCTAGGAGCCTACGAGCCTACGAGCCTAGGAGCCTAAGAGCCTAGGAGCCTCAGCGCCTAGGAGCCTAAGAGCCGAGCTTAAGAGCGTAGGAGCCTAAGAGCCTAGGAGCCTACGAGCCTAGGAGCCTAAGAGCCTAGGAGACTAAGAGCCTAGGAGCCTCAGCGCCTAGGAGCCAAAGAGCCTAGGAGCTTAAGAGCATAGGAGCCTAAGAGCCTAGGGGCGTAAGAGCCTAGGAGCCTAAGAGCCTAGGGGCGTAAGAGCCTAGGAGCCTAAGAGCCTAGGGGCGTAAGAGCCTAGGAGCCTAAGAGCCTATGAGCCTATGTCACTCGAGAAAGCAGGCACGCACAAGGTCACTACTTCATACGAGAGTGCACTCGGGAAGGGGGGGGGAGAGGGGGAAGAAAGAAGGTAACAGGTCTCACCCTTAGTTGGCACTTTACACGTCGCATGAACGTAAATTCACTCGGAACTTTACCTTTATGTCGTTTTACTCGTAATTTTACGTATATATGGACGGGCACCATAAAACAATATTTCAGGGGCAGGAAATTTCATACGAGAGGAGGGAGATTGACATTGACCGGGGAGGGGCTGTCACACCCTATGGCATGCTTGCGCATTTCTGCCTACCAAGGCACTTTGGTGATAAAACAAAACAAATGTGGGTGGCAAATCTAATTTTTTATTCCTCTCTGGTTTGCACATACCTTAAGGATTATAAATTTCCCCTATCCTGGGGCAGCTTGAAAACACTTGATGCTGCCCGTAAATGTAAAGCAATTTTGGCCCAACGTAAACAGACGTAGATTTATACTACAGAAAGTCGCGTAAACGTAAAGCCCCGTAAAGTGCCAACCAAGATCTCACCTTGGGAAACCGTGGGGGTTCATAATAAGATCTGGGCAGACGCCCTTCTCTGTGAAAGGAAAGTCTTCCTGCGGTAGGATGATGCCGCACACGCCCTTCTGCCCGTGCCGACTGCTGAACTTGTCACCCAGCTGATGGGACAGAGGGGAAGCGAGAGGAAGGGGGACACACAATGCGAGGAAAAAAGGGGGTGGTCAGGTTTGTAGGCGCCTTGATGTGACTGTCTACGATGGCAGGATGGCAGGATGGCAGGATGATGCCGCACACTCCCCTCTGCTCGTGCCGACTGCTGAACTTGTCGCTCAGCTGACGGGACAGAGGGAAGGGTAGCAAGCAAGGGAGGATGGCGAACAGGCGATGAGAGAGGTTCTTGGGTAGGTAAGGGTAGCAAGGTTTATTCTGCAAAGGTAGTAAGGGTAGGCAAGGGCCATTGACTACGATGGGATGATTCTGCACAAGCCCTTCTGCTCGTGCCGACTGCTGAACTTGTCGCCCAGCTGACAGGACAGAGGGAAGGGTAGCAAGCAAGGGAGGATGGTAAGGATAGCAAGGTTCATAGGGGCCCTTCACTACGATGGGATGATCCTGCACAAGCCCTTCTGCCCGTGCCGGCTGCTGAACTTGTTGCCCAGCTGAGGAGGGTGAGAGAGGGGGAAAGGAGGGCAGGTGCAGGGTAGGAAGGGGGCATGCGCAAGGGGGGAGGAACAGGAAGGGGGTGTGGTTCAAGGGCGGCTCATATCCATTAGAGGAACCTGCCCAGTGCATGTGCCTGTGCATCACTGCTGCTTCTGCTCTTCCCCCACCCACCCACGGTGTGTCAACCTCTCGTATGCAGGGAGAGGGAGGAGGGAGAGGGGGAAGTACGGGAGGACGCAGGCACAGGGAAACGGAAAGGAGCCAGGTTAGGTCAGGCACAACACAAAGAGCACATGAGTACAGTGCGGGTGAGGGAGTAAAACAGCGAGGGTCATTCACAAACAAGACCAGACTCCTCACAAATCACTTTCCCCCCCAACTCCCTAAACCCCCAGTCGCTTCTCACCCCTCTCGCTTCTCCCCCCACACCCAACCTCCTCTAACCGCCATCCTTTCACCCTTAAAGCCCTACCTCGGGCCGGCGTGTGTGTCGGAAGAGGCACTTGATGACAAAGTGGTTCTCCCCGTTGCTCGTCAGCAGCACCTTGTCCACCAAAGCGAATAGCTGTGTCGTGTGCCTGCCTCCTCCTCACCCCACCGCCCTGCAGCGCAACCAGCCCAACCTTTTGCCTCCCACCTAACCCCTCCCCCTCTTCTGCTTGCCGTATGCCATGTGCCATGTGCCTGTGCCTGTGCCTGTGCCGGCGCTTGTGCCTGTGAGTGAGCCACCCTTCAAAACGTCAGTCAGAGCCTCACCTCTGGGCGCCTTGTGTGTCGGACGAGGCACTTGATGACGAAGTGGTTCTCCTCGTTGCTCGTCAGCAGCACCTTATCCACCACCGCCGTCTCGCCCGGGGGGCCCTTGTACGTTGATGGGGTTGGCTTGTAGAACCTGCCCAGTGCATGTGCAGAGCAGGTGCAGAGGGGAAGACCTCAGAGGAAATGGCAACACTTGAACTTTCTTAAGGCATCTCAAACAGTTCCTTGTGAGTGAGGCGCTTTGCCGGGGTTGGTTTGTCGGAAATTTCAATGCAATTGAAGCATAGCATAGCGCCCATGGAGCTGCAAGGAGCTGCACTGCACAGAGCCACAATTATACATGGATCCAAGAGCATGTAGGTGAGAGGTCGGGACAGGAGAGGAGAGTCTACTGATGAAATTATTGAGGGGGCTGGAAAACCAGAATCTCCAATCCACACTTTCCACCCCTGTGGGACAGATCAGATCTCATCCCCTCTCTAAACACCACTCACGCATCAGGCAGTGCCGTTGCATTCAGGATGGCGTCGCGTCCCTGGTGTTGGACGGGCTCTGCTTGTTGACATAGATGTCGCCTCGCCTGGACAAATGTACTACCTTGGAGCAGAGATCCTATTGTGCCTTGTCGGTCGAGCAGGAAAAGGCCACCACTCACGTGTCAGGCAGCGCCATGGGGTTGATGATAGCGTCCCTCGTGTTGGACGGGCTCTGCTTGTTCACGTAGATGTCGCCTGGGCGAATGAACTCCCCGGGGGCAGCGATGCCATCGTGGTCCTGCAGCTGGCAGCGCGGCTGCACCACCATGCCCGCCCCGCCCCGCCCTGCAGGTACGAGGGTGGGCCCCACGATGCGGTCCGACGTGCGGTTGGCGTACTTCTTGATGTTGGTGGCGTACCTGTATCAGAGATTTTGGAGGGAGAGGGATGGGAGAACGGGGAGGGGAGAGGGAGAAGGAAAAGAAGGAGGGGGAGGCAAGGAAGGAGAGTGTGAAAGGGAGAAATGAGAGGCAAGGAGCAGCAGGGGGTAGCGATGCCGTCGTGGCCCTGCAGCTGGCAGCGCGGCTGCACCACCATGTCCGCTCCACCGCGCCCCGCAGGTACAAGGGTGGGCCCCACGATGCGGTCCGACGTGCGGGGGGGGAGTGGGGGTAGGGGGGCGAGTGGAAGGGAAGAGAGGGACGAGATGGGGAGAAAGAGAGAAGGGAGGGTTAAAGGAGATGGAGACGGAGCGAGATAAGGAGGGGGGAGGGGGAGGGGGAGAGGGAGAGTTGTCCTCCTGTAGGAGGACTCGAAGGTATGAGACGATTTTGAGAATCGTGATGCAGTGGCTGAAGTGAACGGCTGCTCCAATGAAAACACGACAAGCTGTCAACGCAGTATGCTTTTCACACTCATCATATACCGCCACCGCCCCACCACACCATCACCACCATCACCGCCACCACCCCACCCCCAACCATCTCCCATCCACTCCACAACCATCTCCCATCCACTCCCCAACCATCCCCCATCCACTCGCCAACCATCCCCCATCCACTCCCCAACCATCCCCCATCCACTCCCCAACCAACCCCCATCCACTCCCCACCGCCACCACCGTACCACCCCACCACCAACCAACCCCCTCCATTCTCCAATCACCCCCCATCCACTCCCCACCCACCCCCCAACCACCCTCCCAACACCCCCCATGCACCCCCAGCACCAATCCCAACCACCCCCCATCCCCCCCAACCACCCCCCTACACATTCTGATAATCGCTACAACCATCATCACCACATGGCCGCCACCCCCTCCCTCCCCCAAAACCACCAGCCTACCGCCTGATGACGATGCAGCGGCCGAAGCCGCGGTCCAGTGAGCTGCGGTTCATGACGATGGCGTCCTCAATGTCGTACCCGCTGTAGCTCATCACCGCGATCGACGCGTTCTGCCCTGCCCCGAGCTTGTCGTACCCCACCTGGCGAGTGCAGGGACAGAGGTGGGAGAGGTGGGGGGGCAGTGTGGGCAAGGAAGGAAGCCAAGGAAAGGGAGGGAGGGAGGATGTGAAGGGATGAGTGCGACAGCTTTTAATTCTCCACGTATCCCACGTGCCGGTTCATGACAATGGCGTCCTCAATGTCGTACCCACTGTAGCTCATCACCGCGATCGACGCGTTCTGCCCTGCGCCCAGCTTGTCGTACCCCACCTGGCGAGTGCAGGGACAGAGGTGGGAGAGGTGGGGGGGCAGTGTGGGCAAGGAAGGAAGCCAAGGAAAGGGAGGGAGGGAGGATGTGAAGGGATGAGTGCGACAGCTTTTAATTCTCCACGTATCCCACGTGCCGGTTCATGACAATGGCGTCCTCAATGTCGTACCCACTGTAGCTCATCACCGCGATCGACGCGTTCTGCCCTGCGCCCAGCTTGTCGTACCCCACCTGGCGAGTGCAGGGGACGGAGGTGAGGTGGGGGGGACGTGGAGAGGGTGGAGAGGTGAGGCGGGTGAGCAGAGGGAAGCATGGAGGGCGAATGCAGGAATTAATTGTGGGAATTCCGGGGCGTTCACGTGGAAAGGTGGTGAAGGGAGCATGTGTGGATGGCGCTGAGAGAGATGCGGATATCGTGTTTCGTGTTTTGAGGTGCCGAAAAAGTTCAACAGTGTGGGGAAACTGGACAAGGAGAGTGCACCACATCGAGGGGTGACAGCCAGGCTTGAGCAGAGTACCCGTGCGTAGGCTTGAGCATGAACCCGACCCGACCCGACCCGACCCGACTTTGCCCTACCCGATGTCGGTTCGGGTCGGGTCGGGTCCAGGGCTCTCGGTTCAAGGGTAAACATCCGGAATGTCAGGTACATTCCGGGTCTTTCCCGCTAAAATCCTGATTTTGAAAGTTTCGGACTCACAAACCTCCTGACTGATTCCGGGCGTTTCCAAGGAACTCCCTGAGCAATCCGGATTGCGCGAAATTTTATCCTGGCCATCCGACTGGCATGGAAACTCACCCGTGCTGGAATTGCAACCCTACCCTCACCCCCCCACCCCCCCCCCCCCCCAATTCCTTCGCAACCCTGACCAATTTTCCACGCAATCTGAAGGTGGCAACTCGTGGAACTTTCACAACTACAGAAGTGCAGGGCTGTCAGACTTATCACCTTAGCCAGGTTGCGCACTGTCAGAAGTACGCATTTCTGTCGCAATCGACGAGGAAAGTGTTGGTGTTGTGGTGAGGGACCTCAGCAGCAGGCAATCGTGTGTTATGTATTCTTCTCCATCGTTTTTTTTCATCGATGTCCTTCCTGCTTGTGCTCGAGGTGCCCGCAGGTTCCGCTGATATCTAGGGAGTCCCAAAAAACACTCTGAATTTCATATTGATAGGTCCAAGTAATCCTGTAATAAAGAGAGATTTTCCAGGGAACGCTGATTTTCCAGGGAACGCTGATTTTTCAGGGTCTTTAGTGACGCGAATCCTGAGACCGCTGGGTCTTGAAAAACGAAAAATTAGCCCTGGTCGGGTCGGGTCAAGTCGGGTCGGAGTTCAGGAAAGTCAACCCAACCCGGGTTTAATAGGTCGGGTACTACTTGACCCGATTTTGGGTCGGGTCGGGTCGGGTTGGCATAGGGGCAGGGACGGGTAATAAGCCGACCCGACGGGTCGGGTTTTGTAGGTCGGGTTGGGTCGGGTCGGGTCGACCCTCCGCAAATGTCGACCCGACCCGTCAAAAAGTCGGGTTCGGGTCTGCGGGTCGGGTACCCGTACCCGTACCCGACTTTAGGATGGGTCGGGTAGTACGAATTAGACATACTACCTGGCCGGGTACGGGTCGGGTATCCCACCCGGCCCGGGTAATAGAGACCCGGCACCTGTCTAGTTACCCCACGCGTCGGTTAATTGGTACCCGGCGGGCGGGTATACCCGACCTGATGTGACATCAAGCCCAAACAGTAAGACATCCAGTACTTGAACTAGAGACTGTTTTAGGCCATCGTATGGCCCATTATAGTGCGCGGGTATTAATTGTTGTAAAATATATATCTATACAACATGCATGCCTAGATTAGGAGGTGTAGTCATTATAATTATTGGGGGGTTGTTGGTTGGGTTGACCAACCCCACATTTGGGTTGGTGAAGATTGGATTTGGTCCTAGACATTTGGTTGGCACTATTCCAACCAAATGGTCTTTGGTCCTAGGAACCAACCAATCACCAAGCACCACACTTTGTGGTTGCTTGCCTTCCAAGCAATCTCTCTCATTGGTCCACATTGTGACCAATAGGAGAGCACCACACTTTTGTGGTTGCTTGCCCTACAAGCAACCTCCCCCATTGGTCCACTTTATGGCCAATAGGAGAGCTTCCCTTCCAACTCTTCCTTGCTCCTTGTTTTGTACAAAAAGAGCCTCTTGGCTCCCTACTCAATTCAATCTTTTCTCTTCCAAGCTAGTTCCTTCATGGTATTCAGAGCCACAATGGCTCACGCCACCTCGATTCGATCCTAACTAGCACGGCCCTATGCTGTCCCTCCTTGTCTTCGAAGTCTAGCCCTTCCTTAGGCTACTTCCCGCGCCCCCCGTGCGCCCTTTCTCGCCGCGCTATTCCGTCGCGCCCGCTCTTCCTCCCGTCGCGCGCCTTTTTGCCGCGCCCGCTCTCCCTTCCGCCGTGCGCCTCCCGTCGCGCCTGACGACGCGCTTACGGCCGTCGCATCCTCCTACTGCGCCCGTTGGTGCGCTCCTCCGTCGTGCGGTCCGTCGTCGCGCCCTCCCGTCGCGCCCTCCCGTCGCGCGCCCTCCGCGTTTGCGCACACCAGTCCGTCGCGCTCTCCGCGCGCCCGTGCGTCACGGCTCCCGTGGACGCCCGTCGACAAATCCTCTCAGCGCGCCCGTCGCCTTTCTGCCGCCGCACGCGCGCGGTCGTCGGTCGATTTCTCCGCCGCGTGCGCCCGCCCGTCGTCGATTCTGCCGTCGCGTGCTCCCGTTCGTCGCGCCGTTTCGACGTGCAGCCGGTCGCCGCATCCTCCTTGGAGCACGTCGCCTTCGGCGACTTAAGAGCTGCGCTCCGCGCACCTATCCTTCTCCTCCTCCTTTCCCTTTTCCTCCTCCTTTCTCTTTTCCTCCTCCTTTCCCTTTTCCTCCTCCTTTCCCTTTTCCTCCTCCTTTCCCTTTTCCTCCTCCTCCCCCCCCCCCCCCCCCCCCCCCTTCCTTCCCCTCCTCCTCAATGGCGTCCGATTCCTCCGTGGACTTTACCTCCGTCGACGCTCTTGAGCTGCTGCCCGACAACACCGCGGTCAATTGGCATTCCTATGCCCAAACCGTCACGGTGCTTCTCTCCTCGGTGACGGTCAACGGCTACAACCTGAAAGCCGTTGTCCATCTCGAGGAGCGCGGTCTTCAGCCTGCCCAGCCGGATGCACCCGCGGGCCCTGCACCTCCTCCTCCTGGCAATCCTCCCGTCAGCCCCGGCGATCCTCCAACCTTCGCCCCTGACGTCAACGACCCTCAGAGCTCCGAGACCGCCATCCGCACCTACCGTGCCGGCCTCACCGACCACGTCCGCCAGCAGCTGCTCTTCGAGGCTTCCCGCGCCGAGCATGACGCCGCCACTGCCGCCTACAACACGTATCAGGCGGCGCTCGCGGAGTACGTCAGTCGCGAGCGCGCATACATCACCGACCTCGCTGCCTGGCGTGTCGCTGACCGGCGCGCGCTCACCATCCTCCTCGCCACCATTCCTCCCACCCTCAAGCGCGAGCTTGCTCCCACCTCCTCCTCCCACCTCTGGCGGCTCCTCACCGATCTCTATGATCGGCAGGACGTCGCCACCCTCTACTCCCTCATCAAGGAGTTCCAGAGCCTCACCATGGACTCTACCACCGGCGCAGCTGCCTTCACGCGTCGCGTCCTCGACCTCGCTCGACGCCTGGCGGCTCTTGGCGTACCGTACCCGGACCCTGTGCTCTGCTGCCACCTCCTTGAAGGCTTGACTTCTGCCTTCGACACCCATAAGATCGCCTACATGCAGCTGATCGACAAGCGCATCACCCCGGCTGAAGTCGCCCAGTGGATTATCACCACCGAGGCCGACCTCCTGCGCCATTCCTCCTCCACTGCCGCTGTTGCTCAGCAGCGCAACACCAGGGGAGGGCGTGGGGGAGGGCGTGGCGCTGGTCGTGGTGGTGGCGCGGGTCGTGGTACCAATGGCGCAGGACGTGGTGCAGCAGTCGCCTTTCCTCCTTGCCAGTATCTTCCTCGCTATGGCCCTACGCGGGGTCAGCGCTGCGGCCAGACCACTCATGCCACTGATTCTTGCTTCAAAGCGCTCAGTGATGAGTGGTTTGCCCGCGGCAACACCGGCACCCCCCCCCGCTGGTCCTCCCTCTCCCCTCGCCCCACTCCTCAGGAGGTTCGTACCTCCCCTCTTTTTCAGCCCGTCTCCTCCCCCTTGGCCCACCAGGCCATCTCTCAGCAACAGCAGCAGCAGCAGACACCGCAGCAGATCCTGCCGCAGCCGTTTCAGCAGCAGCAGCAGCAGTTCCAGCAGCAGCAGTTCCAGCAGCAGCAGCAGCAGGGGCAGCATCACCTCTTCTCCCAGTTGCAGCAGCAGCTCCACCAGCTCCAGCAACAGCTTGACCTCCAGTCGCAGCTCCCCCTTGCACCTCCTCCTATGGCTCCCCCCCAGCAGCCCTACCCCGCTTGGACCGCCGGCACCGCCGCTTCCGCAGCTCACCTCTCGGGCGCGTCTCCCGCGCCCTCAGCCACAGGCAGTGTGACTCCCTTCCCCTCCTCTGGTTTTGTTGGCATGGTTAGTCAGGCTGGAACCCCCGCCCCTTCCATGTATTCGGCTGCTATTAATGAGAATGTGATTCAGTACTCCGTCCCACCTCCTCCCCCACATCCTCCCCCCTCCACCACGCTGGACTTTGTCCTTGACAGTGGAGCCATCGAGTCCGTCCTTCGTGATGCTGGTACCCTTCACCCTCTCCCAGCCCCCACCTCCCTCCTTGGTGCCGATTCCAGCTTCTCTATTCCCTGTCGCCACACCTCTACCCTCCCCTGTCCCCTCTTCCCCTCAGGTACCGTCACTGGTTTACACATCCCCTCCCTCCGTACTAACCTCCTCTCCCAGCGATCCCTGCAGCAGGCCGGTATCACCACCGTCTTCCCAGGTCGCGCTAATCACTGCCTCCTATACCATCCCACAGGTCGCCTCCTCTCCCGTATTCCCTTTTGTCCTCGCTCCCGCCTATATACCCTTCGAGTTCCTCGTCTTCCCTCTGCCCAGGCAGTCTCCCGCTCCCTCCTCCCACCTCACATCTCCCCCCCTCCTCTCCCTCCTTCTAACCCAACCATTCCCCCCCTCCCCCCTGACCCAACCTGCTCCTGTCGATCCCTCTCCCATCCCACCGTCCTCCTCCACCACAGGCTTGGTCACCCCAACTTTGCCACCCTCCGCTCTACCGTCTCCTCAGGTCTCCTTCGAGGTCTTCCCCTCACCCTCCCTCCCCTCCCTCCCTCCCTTGCCCCTCCCTGCTCCGTCTGTGTCCAGAGCAAGCTCAAGCAGCTGCCGCATCGGAGTTCCCCCTCCGCTGCTGCTCAGCCGCTTGATCTTGTTCACATGGACCTCTGGGGCCCCAACCCCTCCCCTTCCCGCCAGGGTCATCGCTACATGCTTGTTCTGGTCGATGATCACAGCCGATATTCTTCCGTCTCCCTTCTTCGCTCGAAGGGTGACGCTCCGACTGCGATCATCGCCTGGCTCAAGCAGGCGAGCACCCACTTTGGCCGCCCTGTGCGCCGCCTTCACTCTGATGGCGGTGGCGAATTCCTTAATCGTCAGGTAGCCTCCTACTGTGAGCTTCATGGCATTCGCCAGACTCACACCCTCCCCCACTCCCCCCAGCAGAACGGTGTGGCCGAGAGCCGTGTTCGGGAGATCACCAAGATTGCTCGGTGTCTCCTCGTCCATGCCTCTTGCCCCCATTCTCTGTGGGGCTATGCCCTCCTTCACGCCACCCTCCTTACTAACCTGTACCCCCACCCTATCCTTCCCTCCACCACTCCCACCGAGCTCTGGACGTCGGCCAAGCCTGACGTCTCCTCCCTCCGTGTGTGGGGCTCCAGGGCGTATGTCCTCATTCACCCTGCGGACCGCCCCCGCACCATGGGAAAGCTCGCCTCCCGTACCCTCCCCTGCATCTTCCTTGGTCATAATCCCTCCTCACCGGACTACCTCTTCCTTCACCCCCCCTCAGGTCGTTTCCTCCGCAGTCGGGATGTAGTCTTTGATGAGTCCACACCCTACTATTCCACTCCTCCCCCCACTGACCCTCTCGCCCCTTCTCCCAGGCCCCTCCACTGGTCCGACACTATCCCACCCCCTCTTCTCCCTCCCCCTCCCATCCTCCCCCCCGCTCCGCCTCCTCCATTCCCCGCCGCCTCGGCCCCTAGTGCTCCCCCCTCCTCTGGTGACATATTTGACCCTGACCCTTTTTTCCCCCCCGCCTCCCCGTCCCACTCCTCCCCCTCCGCTCCCTCCCATCCTCCCCCCTCCCCTGCGACCCCCTCCCCCCCTGCGTCCCACCCGCTCCATCCTCACCCGGTATCCCCACACCAGGTCGCGTGACGCAGTCCTAGGTGCCCCGCCTCCTGTTATCCTCTCTTCCTCTACCTTGCCTCCTCTCTCCCCTCTCATGGACCTCCTTTTTCAGACAGTCTTACAACAAAACACTAGCCCAACCCTGCCGTCGAGCTCCAGTACAGCAGTCCCAACAGCAGCAGCAACAGCTGCAGCAGCAGTTCCACCCACCGCAGCAGCACCAGCAGCAGCAGCCGTCACTTCTTCCTCGCCTTCACCCGCAGCAGCAGCAGCGGCGGCAGCAGACGCAGCAGTAGCAGCCGCCTCAGCAGCAGCAGCAGCAGATGCATCCTCAGCAGCAGCAGCAGCAGCAGTCCTCCCATTCATTTTCCACTCCTCCCTCCTCGAGGACTCCCATGAGGAGTTCCTCAACCTCCACATGCATGATCCAGCCGTCCTACCCATCTCCCCTGACCTCAGTGGCACACCAGTCTTCGCCTTCTCCTCCGCCCCCATCATCTTCGTCCCCGCCACGTACGAGGAGGCCATGGCGTGCCCTGACGCTCACCTCTGGCTCGCGGCCATCCTCAAGGAGTTGGAGGCGTTTATTGCCAACTCCTCCTTTGTGGATGTGCCCCGCCCTCCCTCTACCACGAACGTGGTCAAAGGGAAGTGGGTGTTTCGGGTGAAGCAGCTTCCTGGCGAGCCGCCGGTCTACAAGGCCCGCTACGTCGCCAAGGGCTTCACCCAGCGCTACGCTGTCGACTTCTTCGACACCTTCTCTCCCACCGCCAAGCCCGCTACCATTCGCGCAGTCCTCGACCTCGCTGCTCGCCTCAACATGGAGATTCACTCCATGGACGTCTCCAACGCCTTCCTCCAAGGGGTCTTGCGCGAGCTCATTTACATGGAGCGTCCTGCAGGCTTCCACCTCCCCTTTCCTTCCGACTCTGTCTGGCAGCTGCGTCGGCCGGTCTATGGGCTCAAGCAGGCACCAAGGGAATGGCATGCCAAGCTTGCTGCCACCCTCGCCGAGCTTGGCTTCAGCACCTCCCGTGCCGACCCCAGCCTCTTCCTCCGCACCTCCCCCTCCCCCTTCTACATCCTCGTCTATGTCGACGATATGATCCTCATCACTGCCGACTCCGCCGAGCTCGAGCGCGTCAAGCGTGAGCTTGGCAGCCGGCTCAAGTGTAAGGATCTAGGGGGCTGCAGCACTATCTCGGCATGGAGATTACCCGCGACCGTGCTGCTCGCACCATCTCCCTCTCCCAGGGCCACTACCTGCAGCAGGTCCTGGAGCGGTTCGACATGGCTCGAGGCACCCCTCAGGTCACCCCTCTTCCTGTTGGGCACCATCTCACTCCCCTCACCTCCCCCTCCTCCTCCTCCCACCCCTACGCTGAGCTCATCGGCTCTCTCATGTATGCCATGGTCTCCACCCGCCCTGACCTAGCATACCCCATCAGCGTTTTGGCCCGCTTCGTTGGTACAGGCAAGCATGATGCCGCCCACTGGCAAGCGGCCAAGCGTGTCCTCCGCTACCTTCGGGGGACCAAGGACTACGTCCTTACCCTTGGCGGCCCCTCCCCTCCCCTCCTCACTGGCTACTCTGATTCCTCCTGGGCTGACTCTAGGCCTGACCGCCGCTCCTCTCAGGGCTATGGCTTCTCTCTTGGCAGCGGCCTCATCAGCTGGCGCTCCACCCGCTCCTCCTCCATTGCCCTCTCCTCCTGCGAAGCAGAGCTGTATGCCGCTACCATGGCTGCGCAGGAGGCCCGCTGGCTCTTCTTCCTTCTTGAGGAGCTTGGTGCCCCTCAGCGCTGTCCCACCATCTGGTGCGACAACGCCAGCACCATCCACCTCACGAAGGATGCTGTGTTCCACGGGCGCTCCAAGCACATTGAGCTTCGCCACTACTTCATTCGCGAGCTTGTGCAGGGTGGCCACCTCCAGCTGGGCAAGATTGACTCTGCTGCCAATCTTGCCGACATCTTCACCAAAGCCCTCCCCCACGCCGCCCACTCATCCCTCCTTCGCCTTCTTGGCCTCGCTCCCCCGTTCCCTCGTCCGCCTCCTGATTCAAGCCCTCTAGTCTTATGCATGTTGGGGGGTTGTGTTGTAAAATATATATCTATACAACATGCATGCCTAGATTAGGAGGTGTAGTCATTATAATTATTGGGGGGTTGTTGGTTGGGTTGACCAACCCCACATTTGGGTTGGTCAAGATTGGATTTGGTCCTAGACATTTGGTTGGCACTATTCCAACCAAATGGTCTTTGGTCCTAGGAACCAACCAATCACCAAGCACCACACTTTGTGGTTGCTTGCCTTCCAAGCAATCTCTCTCATTGGTCCACATTGTGACCAATAGGAGAGCACCACACTTTTGTGGTTGCTTGCCCTACAAGCAACCTCCCCCATTGGTCCACTTTATGGCCAATAGGAGAGCTTCCCTTCCAACTCTTCCTTGCTCCTTGTTTTGTACAAAAAGAGCCTCTTGGCTCCCTACTCAATTCAATCTTTTCTCTTCCAAGCTAGTTCCTTCATTAATACCCGGTTTTTTGCAAATTCGGGTAAGGCGGGCAGCCCGCAAGTCAGGTACCCTCTTACACGCCCCTGTAATCCGGGTCGGGTAGTGGTTCTGGGCCAGCTACCCAACTACTACCCGACCCAAAATTACCCGAACCGAAGTCGGGTAATGCAAAGTTGGGTACGGGCAGGTAATCACCCGCTTTTGCTCAAGCCTAGTGACAGCACAGCAGCCCTTGGGTGAAAGAACGAGCAGCAGCATGCACAGATAAGGTTGGAAAGGCAGAGGGTGTGGGGGCAGAGCAAGCGACGACAGGGAAGAGCTAAGGGAGGGAGAGAGAGAGAAGTGGGTGGGGGTAGAGGGAGGGCATTTTTGAGTTGGGTTTCTTATTTTTCTCCTTCCCTTGGTGGCGGCAGAGAGAGGAGAGAGAGAGCGCGAGAGAGAGAGAGAGAGAGAGAGAGAGAGAGAGAGAGAGAGAGAGAGAGAGAGAGAGAGAGAGAGAGAGAGAGAGGGAGACACAGCCTAAGTCCCTTCCTCTCTATTTAAGGCCCTTCCCTGCCTCATTTCCCTCGTTTAGTTTTCAGTTCTTCTTTCTCCTACCCTTGGTGGCGGGAGAGAGGAGAGAGAGAGCGAGAGAGAGAGAGAGCCTAAGTCAAGTCCCTTCCTCTCTATTTAAGGCCCTTCCCTGCCTCATTTCCCTCGTTTAGTTTTCAGTTCTTCTTTCTCCTACCCTTGGTGGCGGGAGAGAGGAGAGAGAGAGCGAGAGAGAGAGAGAGCCTAAGTCAAGTCCCTTCCTCTCTATTTAAGGCCCTTCCCTGCCTCATTTCCCTCGTTTAGTTTTCAGTTCTTCTTTCTCCTACCCTTGGTGGCGGCTCGCGTCGGCGGCCTTCGGCCGCCGACGCTCGCAACGCGGCCTTCGGCCGCGCGGGAGGGGGTGGCAAGACCAGCATTCAACTATATCGCAGCAAGTACAAGGCAGGCATGATGGCGCCCCCCCATCTCTAGACTAGGACCTGACGGGCGTATACGACATTGGCCTACCGGGCCCCACCATAGCACACACAAGCCCACATGGAGCACCTGATGCGCCGTGCGGGGGCGCTCAGACTGCAGGACTCACCGCCCGGCCGCACCTACTCCCGCCGCTCCGCTATTCCGCGACAGCCGCCAGCCCGGCCTCCTCCAGCAACGCGGCCTGGTATGACAACAGGACCTGCAGCGTGGACACGGCGCCAGCTACAAGCCCTGCAGCTGACGCCGAGTCTAAGCTCGCCGACATTTGGCGGAGAGCGGCGAGAAGGTGAGGGTCCGTGCCTGTTCCCCGGCCGGGCCCGGGCCGCGCGCATGCGGCCTCCACAGCGAGATCTATGGCTGCTTCCATGCAGCCCTGAAGGGGGAAGTACGGGGCCATTGACCGGCCCCCTGAGCTCCCCAGCGCGGAGCTCGCCGCCGCCAGAATCGTCATCAGTATCTCGGTCCCCCTCCGAGCGTGCCCAAGGCGACGAAGTGTGGCGGCTGGGACCGGTATCTCCGCAGGAGCTGCAGCCGGCGGCCCCTCCGTCGGTGGGCTCCTTCGCGTCGCCACCCCGGCCTCGCGAGCATGACGGGGAGACCCCTCCCTTGGTGACTCTGCGCCCCCCGTCTCCGCTGCTTCTGCCCCCGCCTCTACACCCCGTGGGGATGGCGCCCGCCGCCGAGGGGGAACAAACGGACCGACCACACCCCCTCCGCGGTAGAGCCCCACCTGGGGACCAACCCACTCCGCCGCCCCAGCCCAGGACGAGGGGGGATGCCACTCAGGGAGAGTATCAACGGATGACGCTGGCCCGCCTATCTGGGGCGCTAGCTGGGACCGATGGTGCAGGTCGTAGTACCCGGGGGGGGACAGGACCGGAGCGTACGCGGGCGGTGGGTGCGCGGCGGGGTGCAGGAGAATATACGGGTCTGCAGGCGCCAAATGCTGTCGCGGAGGGGCCGGCGCAGATGGGAGCGGAGCCGCCGGGGGCGGCGACGGGACTTGCAGGCCCGACCGCTCCCATCCCTGCGCCATCGCGGGACGGGGTGGCGCAGGCCGCAGCTGAGGGGGAGATGCTGCAACATGAGCAGGATGGTCGGGGAGGGACGGTGGAAGGACTCGAGGAGGAAATGGAGGCTGCGTGTGATGGGGGGCCTGATGGGGGGGCTCCCGCTGCAGCGGCGATGGGAGCAGCCCAGCGCCGGCCCGCTCGAGTA